TCCTGGGCTTCAGTCATTTATTGTCTATTTATCAATTAAAATACGTTTCGGTGTTTTCCACCATCATCAGTTTCTCTAAAATAACAGATAGTAAAATTTTTTTAAATTAATGAAAACATTTTTTTTTTACTATCTGTTATTTTAGAGAAACTGATGATGGTGGAAAACACCGAAACGTATTTTAATTGATAAATAGACAATAAATGACTGAAGCCCAGGAATTGATTTTGATTTGGAATTGAAACACAGTCAGGAAAGTATGTACAATATGTATATCACCAGTGACATTGGTATACATGTGAAAGCTATGAACAAAATTGATGATTTGACAAAGTATCAGATTTTAAAAAATCAGTGGACATTAGAAAAAAATGTTTTCCCGTACTCCTCTCATATGAAAGGAAGGGAGGAAAAACGTAGTGCTAATATCGGATATTTTGCAAAGTTCGACTGGCTGGTATTTTCGGAATCTAAGCAAGGGTTATTTTGTAAATATTGTGCGTTATTTTTTTCGCAAACATTAGTTGGTGGCCAGCAGACGGTATAGCCTCGAAAACTAGCTACAGAATCGTTATTAAATTTTGCGAAACTTACTGGGACAGAAGTAAATTTACGCAAGCACGAAAAATCTAACTTGTACTAACTACCATATTCAAGGAATAGAAAAAGGTAACGTTCGCTCGACGATACTCAACACTTTGACCTGACTTAGATTTTAAATTTGCAGGAAATATTTTTATTGCAACGTGCGAACAACCGCAAATTGATTTTATAATTTGCCGATTATAAAAACCATTATATTACTGCGCTTTCGAATTGATTCTGGGAATGAGCTTCTTAAAGAAGACTTAAAAAATACTGCTTCTAATGCTACTTATATTAGTAAAACATCAACATATAACAAATAAAAATGTTGTGGACACGAAATCATCAAAATTATCGTAAAAAATATTATTGATGCAGGATATTATTCGATTATTTTCGATTAAACAACGGATATTGCACATATTTCACATTTTTTTAGTGATTTAGCGCGATATTTTTCTTAAGGAAAAGTTTTTGAGAGTCTTTTAGGCTTTCTTGATTTACATACATATAATTATAATGATTTAGATTCTGATACAGCCAATAATGATCAAACTAAATAAGAACTAAGTTCTTGGAAATTCCGTGTTAAAAAGGATAAAACCATTGGATTAGTTATCAAAAAATGTGCAGGTATAGGCTTCCATGGTTGCTCGGTCAATATGTCCAAGGGGGAGCTCAGTACAATTTACCAAGTACTTTCAGTTGAAAAATATTGATGTAGACTCCGCTGCGACAAAATTGAAATCTTTAATTGAGGTCCTAAATTCGAAAAGAAGAAATGACTCTTACTTTTAAGCAGTTATCATGAAGGAGGCCATCAAAATGATGGTCGATCTTGAAGTCGAATTTAAAAAAACCAAGAATTGCTTCGAGGCATATACACAGGGAGAGCTTTTCCGATGCTCAAGAGTTATCAATAAATCAGTATTCGACAATCCTCGAGGTGACTCAGAATCTATTATCTATCGTCAAGGGAAATTAGCCTGAAGAAAATCAGACCAGCAAGGGCTCACTTAAGGAGTTACAGTGAAATACACTCGAGTAGCCAGTTTCTCATAATTAAGCTTTACTAGAGATAAAACTTTTCTAGGATTGAAGGTTAAATATTCAAAACTAATACAAGTATTTTAAGAAAGAAATATTTTGCATCCAAACACAACTGAAACTTGTGGAAAACCAAGCATGTTTTTTTACACATAGCAATAATATTATTTGTTTTGAAACTAACCGCTTGTCCCTCGAATCCTAACTTGTGGCAAATTTGTTGGATCAGTTCGCAGCTAAATTGCACTAGCACCTTTTTTGTCAAACCAAACTTAACACCTATTTGGGAAGTTCATAACAAAACAAAACTTTTACCGGCATCTCGCGCGATAAACGTGTTTCGAGTTTCACGTCGTCGCTGGCAAGTTGAGTGTAAAACCGATTTGCGAAGAGTGAGGATAGAGCCAAACTTTACGCCGTTCTTATCAGGCTGGGGTGCGCACGCGTTTTTATTGAACTTAAATTTGAACAGTACAGCTTTTCCAATGAGTGAATGAGCCCAATTGAATCGTTTACCCGATTTAAGGGTGATCAATTATTTTGAAATATATGTGTTTCATTTGATATATGATAATTCATAATCGTTTTCTTGTGAGAAATATAGACGCACTTTCCTGGCGATATTGAGGTTTTATTGCCTATTTCTTTATACCGTAAAGTCGTTATTGCTTTTCTTTAGAGATAGTAAAATGTAAGCGACAAAATCCCCTATGGTGATAATTACTGTTTATATATTTTACAATATGTCTTTTTGGGCTGCTGACTACAGATGTTGTAGGAATCACATAATAGTTTTTTGTGGACTGTATTTTTGATTGTAGCGCAAGATGGCAATAAGCCAGAGCTCGCGTAGATGCCCGGAAAGCAGAGCTAGATACTAATTAAATTGGTTTTTGGATTTTAAGATTGTATTTGAACTTTCGCTTACAACATGGCAGCTAATACTAAAAAAACGTTGCTTGGTCACCAATGAAGTACCAACAATGAATTGTTTGATGTTATTTGTCGTCGCATGGTGACCAAATTTAAAGTGGCACAAATAAATTGTTGGATGCTGTTTCCAACAGATGTTGTTTCGGATTTTAAATCGAATAAATTAACCCTATTCGTTTCGAGAAGAAAATCGAAACTGGCACCCCTCGTCTGGATGAGTGACTTAGAATTGCAGGCATTTTGCTCTATGTTTTCCTTGAAATTTTTAGTCATGATCCACTGTGACAACCCTTTAAAGCTCATGCTTAAGGTAAATAAACTGAAACCACTTTTTCGATGGATGTCTGAAATAGTTCTATTTTGCGATTATCCGTTTTTAACAGATATGAAGGTACAGCATATTTAATTGGCAAATGCTGACGTCCAGTGGGTCAATGCTAACCTTAGTAACAACTCTTTTACAGTTATTATTATTATATTCAACACTAATGTGCAAAAAGTCAATATTATAAAACTCCACCAATGTTGACCAACGTTGACCAATTTTGTACATTTGATTAATTTGAGTCCTGTTCCATAAAAGTTGTGCATATAAATGTTGTTAAATGCTAGATACATTGAATCATCGTGAAAATAGAGATGAAATGTTTTGTTGTCCGTGGTGTAAATCTTTAGAAATTTAAATATTAATTAAAGATTGGATTTTGGGATTTTAGCGTTCCAAATATTGTGTTTTTCAAAATATTCGTGTTTAACATCAATTTTATTATGAGGGTTCTTTGAGATAATTAATTGATATGGCTTGTTATTAATTATTTCATCAAGTATTGTTATTCCATCGTTAGTGGTGTGTAAGTCGCTAATAGTATGGGGTGTTTTATCAGTTTGTTCTATTCTTTGTTGTGCACGAGGTGGAACTAGTTGAATATCTTCTATAATATTTATTTTTGGTTTTTGCAATTATTCAAATTCTTGCAGAACTTCTGTAACATCTGCGGGATCAAGGTGATCTGGATTAAATGTTCCTAATAAATCATTCTATGGCGTTAATTTGGATTCGGGAAAGTGCGTCCGAGTTTGTATTCTGCTTTCCTTTTTTATAGATGATCTCGTAGTCATATTCTTCAAGTTTGAGTCTCCATCTGACTAGTTTGCTATTTGGTTCTTTTAGATTAAATAACCAAACAAGTGGTCTATGATCTGTATAAATTTTAAATTTTCTTCCAAATAAATATGGTCGAAAATACTTACATGCCCAGACGATTGCCAGTAATTCCTTCTCAATGGTTGAATTCATAACATTCATAACTATTGAGTGGTCTGGAGGCATAAGCTATTGGTTTGTCGTTAGGTACATTTCCTTGAGATAATACTGCTCCGATTGCATAATTACTTGCGTCTGTAGTAAGGGTAAAAGGTTTGGTGAAATCTGGATATTGCGAAATTGGAGAGTTTATGAGGAGACTTTTACAATGATTAAAAGAGTTTTTGACATCGGTAGTGTGATTGACGGTGGCATTTTTCTTTAAGCATGCTGTTAAAGGCTTCGTTATTTTGGCAAAATCTTTTGTAAATCGTCTGTAATCTCCTAGAAGTCCTAAGAATGATTTTATTTCTTTTTGTGTCTTTGGAATAGGGAAGTTTTTGATAGCTACGATCTTATCTGGGTTTGGTTTTACTCCTTCAGTTGTAACTACGTGTCCTAAGTATTGTACTTCTTTTTTCAAAAATTCGGATTTATCCATTTG